ACCTGAGAGATGGACCTATAAACAGGGGTGTACAAACTCGGCCCGCAACCATTTTTGAATCGGCCCTCGCAAATTCAAAAAGTACTAATGGAATATGGCCCCACACAAAATGAACTTGCTGCTTGTCTTATATTGTACTTCTTTTATGTTTTAATTAAAATGTTATACAAATAAGACACATGTCCCAGTGTAACAGTTCAAACAGACAGAAGCACTTCTCAAGGTCAAATTTACACTGAGGTACAGGTCCAAAAAACACACAATAAAAAAACAACCCACCTTACCCTTCATACAACGACACGTCTACATTTCAAAATTGAATGCAATTTCTAGCCCCTTAATTCAAGGCAGTTTCATGGAACATAATCCGAACTCAACAATATCTATTAATGAGCTTTACACTCCGTCAGTATTCAACTATCCTCATCATCTGCTAGCTTCCATACCTTCCACAACAGATTAAGATGGTTCCAAATCTTGTCAAAAAAGTCTTGTTCCCCTTTTCAGTATGAGTTCTTCTTTCAGAGAAAAGTCGTGTTTAACCATTTGCCGGACCCCACTATGTTGACGCCCCGTTGGTCTTTGCTGGTCTTTTTCCAAATAGTGCACTAGATTTGTTTGCGATAGGCAAAGAAAGACATATCTATGAATTAATTCGTTCGCCCTTGGTATACTTGTGACCTTTTGGGTAAGTGCCTAAATACAAAATCAGGATTCCATCAAAAGTTATTTTTTGTGATTAATCTTTTCTCGTTTTTTCTTAATGTCTTTCCAAAAGCTTCAACCTTACTGCATTGCCAAAAAACATGAACAGAGTCCCCTTCCTCCACACATTTTATACATAAGATCTGGACTATTACTATTATATTTATGTAATTTGGCTGGTGTGATATATGTTCTCATTAATCCAATCTTGTATTTAACACTTTTAATTGTGTTGGACTGATTGGGATTGAGCCCTTCTTGGCATATTGTTCCCAGTCTCCTGAGAGAGATCTGTTCCCAGATCTTTACTCCATGCATTTGTGTTTATGGTTCTTCTGGATTCTCGTGAATTGGACCAATATTAACTCGTATAGCTCCTGCTATAGCCAACCTGTTGCTTAGGCCTATCCTTAGCCCATAATTGTCTCTTAATTCAGATGTTAAGGTTGGTTATAATCCATTTCTGACCTGTTCTTATGAAAAACTCCTTAGTTGGAGCAATTTAAAAATATATTTTGAATCTATGTTATACTTAAGTTTAATTTGTCAAACTTATCATTATGGCTATCTGAGTTGGGCAAAATACAGGTCCTGAATTTGTACTGGCCGCTTAGATTTCCAGTTTCTAAATACAACATCGCTCTCCCCTGAGTACAGTGGAGTTTCGCGCCCCATATCGGACTGTACTGAGACAATGTATTAGTTCCTTTAAGACAATGTTAACACACTTACCCACTAACTGGACAAGTTAGATTATTAGTTAATTTTCACATCAACCTCAAAAGTATCTGAGGCAACTTAGGCTCTCGGATTGCTTTTCTTTCCATTTGTGGGAATATCCTTCTTTGCAAAAAAAAACTTGATGCTCCTAGTTGTGCTGGGCCCAATAATACCAGGTTCTATTGGCATGAATCAACCCCCCATTATTATCTGGCAAAGTATGGCAGGGACATGCGCACTCTGGCTTGTTTATTTCCCCATATCAATTCTGTAATAATCTTCTAACTTTTCTGAAAAAAGTTGTTAGTGGAAGTAAAGGAATATTTTGAAATAANCGTAACTGTATGTAACAACGGTTTCAAATCAGCATCTCTTTGACAAAAAATGTAAATTAATAACTCAAATAAAACTCCAAACATCTTTAATTGAGTTACTTTTTTGTAAAGCTCTTTTAGTTTTAAACCTGATGTTTATAAGCTTCTTATAAGGCCAAATAAGGCGTGTCACGGCCGACGGTGCGGGACACACCAAATTGAGTTTGGGCGACAGGGCACGCTTCGTCGTCCGACTAACAAAAACGGCCGATTTCGGGCTGGTGTGTCAGGGCCTTAATAAAGGCTCGTACACACACCAGGCCGATTATCGGCGTCGGTTTGCCTCAGGCCGACGATGAGCGTCGACATGCCCTACTCAGATTGGTGTCGGCACAGGAAATCACTCTGTTTGGCTGTTCAGCTAGCGAATTAGTGCATGAGAAGCGAAACAGAAGTGAGGGACCCAAACCAACTATTAAGAAGGCAAATCTGAGATTTCATTTAACTCCAGCTCTCGACACAGGTTCGAGAAAGCCCCCATGAGCTTCTCGTTGTAGAGTGAAAATGGAACGCACACGCTATTTGTTGTTTGTTTATATCACGCAGTCTGTTCTTCTTCTCTCGGTTATCAACGTGTGCGTTCCAAAGTCTCTTGAAATACATAAACGTGACATTATGAAATAAAAATATGTATTTAAATATATTTATTGCCTCATTTATTTATTTCAGAATTTATTTCATAACCATATTTATTTATTGCATGGGCATATTTATTTAATTTTGGCTTAAACGGCATACCATATAAATACACCCTTCCTATTTCTCCTTATTATAATCAATCTGAACCTTCTGTTTTAAGGGATGAGCTGCCATCACTCACAAGCATAATTTACCTACACTTGATTGATTTTTCTAACTTATAACTGAATCTATGAGGCAATATACCTCTAGTGAGTGGCCCAGCCCTTTGTATATTTTTCTGTATGTGGCCCTCAGGTGAAAAAAGTTTGGACACCCCTGTCCTATAACCTATTGCGTCTTATTTAATATTCCCAAATTGTCACAATTAATGTGTTATATTATATTGCACTCACCTTCATTGAAGCCTCCTCCAGTTCCTCGAGCCTCTCTTGTTGTGGTATGGATGCACTTATGCTCCTGGACAAAACTACAATAAACATATACATAGGGAACACAAAACAAATCATGTGACCATATGTTTCCTGATTACAAAGCACTAGTAAGCTTTTCATTTGTTTAAACAACTTCAGACATCTCACCCTGATATGGGTGGGGGAGGGCTGGGAGAGAGCGTCGGGTTATGGTTGCTCTCCTCCAGGATTTCCTCCGTGCAGTGAGACTCGAAGGTCCCTCTGTGACTTCTGTCTGCCTTTTTAGTTTGTCCATCTCTGACTGGCCTTCCCCAGCGTCTGGCCTCGATGTGGTGGGGGCAATGGTACGGCGAGATTTGTTTGGGGGAACTGTGCTGGGGCTTGTGGACGAGCGTTTATTCGATGTTGATGTCAGCGAGTTGCCCTTGTAAGATGAAACAAATAGTAAAGTACCATTAACAGACACTATATATATATATATATTTAATATTATAGCCAGTGGTGTGAGGTAACTAAGTACTGTTACTCAAGTCCTGTACTCAGACCCGGCGCCAGAACAAATCTACAGAAAGGGCATATGATTTTCATGGGGGGGCACACAAAACCGCCATGTGCCGCAGCCAGTGTCGAAGCCAGAGATTTTCTTTTGGCGGTGCTGTGGGGTAGCTTGACGTTTCATAGAGGCTGCTCAAACATGTAGGGTTTCCCATTAATGTACCGGCGCTACAATTCAATGTTCTACTGCAACACTCCCCACACGCACAGTGTACCCGCCGCAACTGTTACAATGAAGGCTCGATAATCAGCTTACGGCATACACGTGTAAGCAGGGATAAAGTGCTATTTTTTTTAAAGTGGGGGGCAGACCTAACCTCCTCTCGAGGGGTCTGGGGGCATGCTCCCCAGGGAAGATTTTTTTTTTAAATATTGAAGTTAAAAGCATCAATCTGGTGCACTTTGAGAGCAAAATGAAGCGATCTATGGATACATCTCTCAACAACACCCATATGAAACAGAACTATAAACAGATTTACTATTTCTTTATGGATATTTTACAAATCACTCCCCTTTTAAACTGTATTCTTGTTTTACTATCATATAGTATTTCATACCTGTTTTTCATTTATTACTCTTATATTACATCACAATGTAAGATCTCCCACGACGCCGGATCTGCCTGTACTTGAGTACACTTTTGAAGAAATTGTACTTTACTTGAGTATTTCAATATTTCTACTTCTACCCAACTACAATTCAGAGGTAACAAGTGTACTTTTACTACACTACATGTATTTAAT